ATCCCCCTTTAAAAGCGGCCCTGCTCTGGCAAGCCGTCTGTGCAAGGCAGCAATGCTGCACCGCTTCAGGTTGGTGGCCAAAGAGGCCCAGAGGCAGGACCTGCTAGGTGTAAGTTCCTATAGCAAAGCCAAGGTAATCCCAGCACACACACACAGAGCACACTTTCATAATGTTTTTTTTTTAATTAATTATAATAATACTATAGCACCTCTGTGCTGTTCATCTGACCTGTCCCTTCTTCACTAGTGCTTCCACAGTAGCAGCATGTTAGCCACTGCCCCCCTCCTCTCCTACACCTCACTCATCAGCTATCTCTTCCTAACCTGCTCTTGTTGGTTGAAGCCAGTAAATATTCAAAATGAATCAGTTGATTCACTAATCACACTGATCGGACTGATAAACTTTCTCATGTGTGTGGGGGGGTTTTTTTCCTTCTTTTTCTCAATGTTCCCCGGGGCTGACGGGGCAAACATTCAGCATCGGAGTTTATGAACTAGCATTACATTTATCCACTTGCAGAGCAGTCTGTATACAGCGTTCAGACCTCGACAGCAGCTGTATTCTAGCGTTAGCTTAGTTAGCCTAACTAGCTTGATAGTAACATATTAGAAGAGTTGGATCTCTGCGATTGACAGTTTAATAAAAAAAAAAAAGAAAAAAGCATAAAGGAGAGCTGTTCACAGACGGTCCACTTTCATGTGTTTGTGTGCATGAGAGAGAGGGAGAGAAATGGAGGGATTGAGCAAATGCCCTGTACATGGCACTACACTGAAGTAAGATTCAGCCTATTTTAAATTAACGTGGTGATCAGTGTTGATACTCTGGTGGCCTGTGATGAATCAGTGTATGGCAAACACTGCACACACATTTGTGTATTTTTCAAAAGTTAACACTGGGATTACAGTATTAACATAGGTAGCAACACTGATCTGCTGACACTGGTTTTATTTTTTCCTCAAGACCAAACCTTGCACATTGAAATTAATCAGTACACTTGCATGTGGTATTGTGTATTTCCCCAATTTTCAGCTTGCACTCGGTGTGTCTGTTCCAGTCATACAGTTCATCTGAGTTTTTTTTTGGTTCCCATCAGTCCTCAGAGATGATTGTAGCAAATCCTACTTATTGGGTGGTCTGATTTATTTACAAGTAATCTCTGTGCAATTGTCTAAAATTAGCTGCAGTACATTTTTGCAGTGCCCCTTTTTCCCCCTCTACCTTCGCTACATTTTCACAGTTTAAAAACTTGAGTTTTGTGAATACTATTATATATTTGATTTTTGAAAGTACTCTGGAAGGACTGTTGCTAATTGTATTACATGTTATTTTGTCACTGAAGAGAATGGCGAAGCCGTACCAGGAGGCCAAGAAGGTGCTGAGGCTGTACCTGTTGCAGCAGGGATTTGGTACCTGGTTGGTCAAACCTTTGGTTTGTGATGACTTTTCCATGTAAATAAAAACACACAACCACTAGGAAAAGGCTGCATTCTGGAAGAAGTTATGTCCAGATTAATACAACTAAGTTTATTTCGCAAGAACCAGTTATTCTATGGGAAGTCACTATGCTGGGATTTAAATGTTTCTATGTTGTGGTTTCTCAGATGATTCAAATCCCTCACTGTTCATGTTGTAAGAGCAGTTTTGTATCAAGAATGCAAATATTACACACCTGTATAAAACACCCATTTTTGAAGCCAACAGTCAGGGTTGCAGCACACAGTGAATTGTGATATTGGCAATAGTTTTTGTTTGTTGATAGACGTGTATAGTGATCAGAACATATGTTTTAACATTACACCATTTGTTGTTTTATTGTTGAACTTGTCTTTGCCATTGTGTGATTAAAAAAAAATCAACATATACAATGTATAGTATGTCTAACTTTGGTACTTTATCTTGCTTTTTTTTTGGTGCTGCGGGCTCAGGACATGTTACGTCGGGTACAAAAAAGACCTGAGTTTGGTGTCAGTTTTTGATTTGGTCTTTTGTGAAAATGCTGAGTTTTTCATCCATATTCAGTGGTTTGACGTGATGATGAACGTTGTTAGAGCAGAAATACGCAATGGCTAACACAAGGATATATAGATAACATAATGCAAACTCAAAATGGTGGAGTACAGAATGTGTTTATTAAACCAAAATTACTAAATTTCTAAAGGTCAGAGCTGACCACACCTGTTACATTACAGCATCCACAGAAATGAAAATTATGAAGAAGCTCCTAGAAGCTGTGATGTCAGAAAGACATGGCATGAATACAAAATCACACACGTTTCTTTTCTGGGCGAATTGTCATATGCAGTGATTCTTGCCAATCCAGATTATCGGTACAGTGGGTACGGAAAGTATTCAGACCCCCTTAAATTTTTCACTCTTTGTTATATTGCAGCCATATGCTAAAATCATTTAAGTTCATTTTTTTCCTCATTAATGTACACACAGCACCCCATATTGACAGAAAAACAGAATTTTTGACATTTTTGCAGATTTATTAAAAAAGAAAAACTGAAATATCACATGGTCATAAGTATTCAGACCCTTTGCTCAGTATTTAGTAGAAGCACCCTTTGGAGCTAATACAGCCATGAGTCTTTTTGGGAATGATGCAACAAGTTTTTCACACCTGCATTTGGGGATACTCTGCCATTCCTCCTTGCAGATCCTCTCCAGTTCTGTCAGGTTGGATGGTAAACATTGGTTGACATTTTCAGGTCTCTCCAGAGATGCTAAATTGGGTTTAAGCCAGGGCTCTGGCTGGGCCATTCAAGAACAGTCACGGAGTTGTTGTGAAGCCACTCCTTCGTTATTTTAGCTGTGTGCTTAGGGTCATTGTCTTGTTGGAAGGTGAACCTTCAGCCCAGTCTGAGGTCCTGAGCACTCTGGAGAAGGTTTTCGTCCAGGATATCCCTGTACTTGGCCGCATTCATCCTTCCCTCGATTGCATTAATGAATTGATTGAATTAAGGCCAAAAAGTTCTATCTTGGTCTCATCAGACCAGAGAATCTT